AAAGTTACTTATTTGAACAACAGAATCCATAGCAATAATTCCACGCAGAATTTTGTGTAGACTGCACCAGCCTGCTGTTCAGTAGACCAGAGGTTAACAAGCATCTTGTTTAAAACTGACTCAAACTGAAACAAGGACTCAGAGGGTGACACATCATCACCAAGGTTTAGCTTTCATAATCAACTATGTGACTCTTACTACCTTTGGCATTAACTTTATCAGATGTAAGAGGCCTAACAGGAAGAGGTGTCACATTATTGCCACAAAGTTACCTGAGCTGTACAAAGAGGTGACAAAAGACTCATCACTCCAATGTTACTTACAAAAGTCTCAACAGTAACACGGTTGTACAGGAAGAGACATTTTAAATTACAATAGCAAACAGCAGCAGTAACCACTCCTGCTAACTTCTAACTACTTCAATATCATTAAAGCAGTAACCCTAACTACTACTTCACTAAATTTATGAGATGTGCTTATGGCAACAGTAGGAGGCACACTTGACTCAGAATAACTAGAGCCAAGATGAACCTACACAATGAGAATAAAAGTATTCAAAAGTTACCATTGAACAATGTCCTTGCAGTAAGTGAAGCTGAGCAGTGGCTCTAAGCAGTTGCTGCTGAGCTCTTCCTAGCTCCCCTGTGCTCCCAGAAGGGCAGGTATTTCACATTTAAATACCTGCATCCAATATTTAAACTAGGTTCAGTTACAGTTCGTAGCCTGTTTGTAGGAGCAAGTTAAGCTAGGATTGTCTATCAGCCATGCCCTCCTCAGACTTTTGTTAGCTATCCATCAATAACCTCGAAATACTCAATTCCTTCTAATTACACCTTTCCATCATCTTCAGATTAAGAAAACTAAAGAAGTCTGGGCCAGGACCTCTTCTGTTGGAGGTTCTCACAGCAGTAAGTTATCCACAGAACATCATGACTTTCTCCTATTTCCACCACAATTCCGCACATCAAGCGTAAGGAATTACAATGCTGTAGGAAAGCCTTCCTAAGGATACTGAACACCACATTCCAAGGAATCATCAGCACCACGGGAACCCGAGCCGTATTGGATAAAACAGCAACTACACTCCTCTTGAGAAGAAACTGATATTCCCAGAGTCACCCTTTTGTCTCTACAGAAGACATAAAAATTAGACAGTCTCTGGCAGAGTGACTTCACAATGATGGACAATGCAACTATTACACATTCCTCCACACTGTCTTTGATTCACACAATTCCTGCTACGACATTTGCTCCAACATTTAAACATTAATTCAGCTGAACTGAAAGCAGCCAGCATATTCCTTTCTTCCAAGCAGAACGTTAAGAAACTGAAGCAGTGAAAGCATGCTAGAAAAGTCCAAGAGAAAGTAATTCCAAAGAGTTGTGATACATCTTCATCAGCTCTGGACAAGCGCAGAGATGAACAACTGAACCTGCACGGTCTCATTCTGGCAGCACTACAGTGGAACTACAGAAGACTCTGGAGAGGTGGGACACCTTGGACGTCTATGATATGTCAAGGGAATTAAAAACAAGCACAAGTTAGTTCAGGTTGCTATAATATAGCATGGAAGAAATTGACTCACATTTCCATAAAATAAGGGTGCTTTGAAGACTAGTAAATCTTCAAGACACATCAAACAAGAAAACTAAGGTGACATTTTAATTTTGACCATTTCATGAATTCAGACATTGACAGAAAACACGCATAAAGAATTTCATTGTCCTGTCAACATTTATGTTTTCCTAGATAAAGAGGAGCATGTAGCCATCATAGCAATAGCTCCCAAGTTCCTCCTTTTATTTCTAGACGCAATAAAACAAGACCTTATCTCAATATCCTTAACCATACAGAGTAGCTCCTTCAAGAAATACTTCTAAAAGCTACAAAAATTATGCTTATGCTTTAAAAGCATCATTTTGCATGCAGCCTCCTTATGAGAGGGAAGCTACAGCCTTTCAAATAATTTCACTTGTAAGGTACTCCTTCAGTATATGCAGCCCTCAAGGAGAACATCCAACATTTTCCCCCAACCAATATTTGCAGTCTCACTGTCATTTTAGAAACTACTCATGAAATTCTTCAAACAGCTGAAAGCTCAGCAACATACTCTTCATAAATGAGCTTTTTTATTACATTGCTTCAAAGGTGCTTCTTTGGACCATTTGTTCACACAGTATGGAAGATGACTTAGACAGTTCAACAGAGGTGGTATTATTGGAAAGTGACTGATGCCAAACTGTCATTAGTTTCTGATCAGTAAGTACATTGTAAAGATTAAAACAGATTTTAGAGGTTAACTTAAAAGAACTCCAAAATTACAAAGATTAAAATTCCAAATAGAAAGTCATATCCTTTCAGAGGATTAATCTCAGGTCAGACTGCGTATGAAAAGCTCAAGCAGGGCCCAACACTAGTTAAAATTCACGCTCAGAAGACAGCCACAGGAAGAACAGCATGTAGGAAGGGTGCGTGCTTAAAGGTCTCAGAAAACTGGAAGCTTACTTCCACAGCCACTAAGCATAGAGCAAGGGCAATAACATAATCTACAAAGGTACTGTTGAAGGATGAGATACAAAAAATTGCTTTGGAGGAGAACAAAGTCTCCCTATAGTACTGCAGGGAGCTATCTGCTCTGATCCTCCTCCAAAGCTCCTGGGATTTTGACCCAATGCTCTTTTGTCTGCCCTAAATTGCATCAGAACACACAGAATAATGAAGCCATAGTACATGAATCCCTCTGCAGACTGTACTGAAACAACACTAAAAAGTATGCACTATCTTTTTAATTTAACACTGAGGCTTTGAAAGCCAAATACTACATCAGACACTTGCTCCTGGTACCCCAGCTCTTCCCACTTCTTGTAAGGCTGTTGCACAGCAACCTGTCTCTCAGTTACACAAGCTCTGACTCGCATAAACTAAGGGTGTTTCTGACATCATTAGATCGGGATTGGGAGAACTGTGGCCCTATTCTCACTTTAGTTTTATCCACCAGTCATCTGCAAAGGTTAAGCATGAGGCTTTTCAAAGCTTCATAAAGGATGTGATTAATTTCATCCTTGTACCTGTACCAAGCAAGAATCCTAGCTCTCAGAATGAAAAACAGCTTCACACAACTCAGCATGCTGCTCTAAATGACTTAGTGTGTATTCTAAGCCTACAACAACCCAGTGCCACAAACACACAAAGCATCTGTGAAAACTGCATTTTAATATTGTTCTAAGACAAAATTTGTTTTTAGGTGCTTGAAAAGCTGCTGTCATTAATTTATGACAGAGTTTTTCCCTCGGCCTGTCTAAACTGCATTTCAAGTGCTTCTACAAACCACCAGGTTATCTTCCGATGGTGATAAAATGCAAGATGTCACAAGAAACAGAACTGTAGTAGATTCTCTTAAGATAAAAAGAAAAAAAAAATTCAGACTCCAAGGAAAGCCTGCACTTTTCTCCAAAGGGGGTGACCCAAGTAAGATCTGCAGTTCCCTGTCTACATAGACCTTGAATGGATGGGTTTTAGCACCCTCAAACATGCAGCCAAGCACCTAGGAGCCTGGCTGTACTCTGCTAATTCACCATCTCTATTTGCTTTACCTGCAGCTCGCACCAGGCGACTTCCACAGTGGTATCAGTATCCAGTCCTTTATATACAGTTTTGAAAGAGCCTCTTCCGATCTCGATGTCAAACTTCAGGAAGCGGCCGTCAGGGGAGATGCCCACCGCCTTGGTCTCCAGCTCCTCTATGTCCTCCTGCTGCGCCCTCCGCTCCTCGAACTCCCGGCTGGCAGCCGACGTGCTGCCAGCGGCGCTGGTGGGGGGCAGAGCGGCGGCCTCATCCTCCTCCTCTTTGGGCAGTAGCGGGGCGGCATCCTTGGTGGCAGGGGGCTCCTGGCCAGAGCGCCCTTCCAGTGGGAGCGGGACTGGCGGCGGAGGCTGCTGCAGCAGCGAGGGGGCCTGCGAGGCTCCAACGGCGATGCAAGTGGTGCGGACGCACTCGGGAGGAGAGACCAAGGGAGCGGCACTGCCTCCCGACACGGGAGCCGAGGGTGCGGCGGGCTGCAGGCTGGGCAGCTCCAAGGCCGTGGCGTTGGAGTCGCAGATCACGCTCCGGCGGAAGAAGCGGTGCTCGGTGGCTGCCGCCCCTCGGCTGTCCTTGTCCATGGTGTGGCGGCGGCGGCGGTACTCCTCGCTACGGCCTCCGCTCCCCGCTCCGCCGCTCGCTCCGCCGGTCCCAGAGGCCGCGTGCTCGGCGGCTCCCAGCTTCTCCCCGACGGAGCTGTCCGAGCTGGAACCGTTCTTGGGGGGCGGCGGCGGGGGAGCCAGGAAACGGGGTGCCGGGGGTCCGCCGTCCGCTGCTCCCCCCGACATCGCTGCCCGGGGAAGCGCTGCTGGGGCGAGGCGGGGCGGGGGGAGGCGAGGGGAGAGGCCGCTCACTGCGCGGGGAGAGCTCCCGGCCGCGGCCGCAGCTGCGAGACGGGAGGGTCCCAAGGGCTCCCGGCGGCGGAGCTGGGAGGCGGCTGCTGGGGAGGCTGGGCCAGCGGGGCGGCTCCCCGCTCAGCGTCTGCATCCATCCTGCAGCGGGGCAACGGGCAGCGGGGCCGACATGGAGCTCTGCGAGAGAGCCGGGGCGCGGGGCCGGGCGGGGGGAAAGGAGGGAAGGGCGGGCGAGAGAAGGCCGGGGCAGGCCCGGGAACCCCCGGAGCGAAGGCCCACGGGGAGGGGAAGGGGCGGCGAAGCGGGGGCAGGCCGCGGAGGCGGTAGCCGCCGCGCTCAGTCGCTCGCAGCGGGCGGGCCCGGAGCCTTCAACCCGCCGCGAGGGCAGGGAAAGGGGCCGCGGGGCTCAGCCCCGCCTCGCAGTGGCGCCCATGGCGGCAGCGGCCTCCCCCTCCCGCCAGGCAGCCACCGCCCGCGCGAGGCCGGACCGCGTTCTCTCAGCAGTAGAAGCGGCCGCCGCCGCCTCGCGGGAAGCCGGAAACCCTCCTCCTCCTCCTCCTCCTCCTGCTGCTGCCGCTGCCTCCGCCGCTGCTGCCGCCCCCCGCCGCCTCGCCTCGCCTCTCCTCACCGGGGGCCGCTCGCCGCCTCACACAGGGGAGCGGGAGCGGAGGCCGCGCGAGTCCGAGTGGCGCCCCGCGCCGCGGCGGGGAGGAGGGAGCGGAGGCGCTGCGGCCACCTCGGGGCCGTCTCTGCGCTAAATGGCGACGGACGCCCGAAACCGACACACAGCAGGGAGGGGGAGGGGAGCCGCCGGGCACGCCTCCTTCCGCGCACGCGCGCCCGCCCTCGAGCCCTTCCCCGGCCGTCGTTTACTCGGGGAGCCGCGGCTCCCGTCGTGCCCCGCGCCGCGCGCGGAGCCTCATGGGAGTTGTAGTTCTCGAGGTACGAGCGGCCTCTGCCGTGCGCGGGCCGTTTCCCGTCTCTCGCTCCTTCGCGCGGAGGTGTTTGCGGTGCGCTCCGCTGACCGCCGCTACCGAGGCGCAGTGTGGGAAGTGCAGGCCCCGGTGCTACGGCGCAGCGGTACGCAGCCGTATTTCGATACGTATTCGTATTTAGATACGAATAAACCTTACCCTAATCTGCGCTCCCGATTGTTTGGAAGAAACAGCGTTGTCAGACTTTGCCCTGACAATGATCGTTACCCTCTCGCCATCTGAGCGATGACTTTGGCAGCGTCGCGGCGTTAAGGGATGTGCGGCAGAGCCCACGTGAGCGCTGAAACAAATCGGGAACTTTTCAGGTTGAAGAGGCGCTGGCACACACCAGTCATCTGGTTATTTATATCGTGTTCCTCTTTCATCGCAACGTACCGAACCCAAGCACTTTCCATCTTACGTGAGCAGTCAGAAGTCACTGGGAATGTACCGCAGGAAGCGTGAATTAATTGCTACCCTGCCTTTTAACCAACTGTAATTCAGAATTCATGTCGGTGATATATTGGCAGGAGGCATTCCGGCCCTTCACATGCTTTTTAAAAGTTATTTTAAAACGATTTAGAGGAAGTTGTGCGTTGCGTTGCTGATGCGAGGCCTTACAGACCTCAGCAGCCCCCAACCGCAAGAGACCAAGCCAAGCAGTTCTCATGTGCTTGCACTCCTCATCTACACAATTCGACACTTCATATTAACTGGAATAGTGTTGTCTTCTGTATATCAGCTTCTCTTTGTAACAGCAAACAACATAATGATGCAGTCTTCACAAAAGGAACAAAATGTACTTTGCTGTACAACTCTCCAGCAAAGACTTCTGCATTGCTTAATCCTTCTCGGTCCTACCTTTATGGCAAAAGTTGATTTGAGTTAGTTAACATATTCTTTTTGGTCCGCTCGAAATGCACTGACACAACTGAGTAATTACTTTTCAAAGCAATGCTGAGTTAAATGGCATAATTTGATTAGCAGTGAAGACTGACCTGATTAAAATTGATAAACTTATAACTCAATCTGTTCCATCCTTACTGCACCATCAGTGCCAGAAGTTGACCATCAACTTTTTTAACACCAAGAAGGATTCGAGTTCACTAACCTCTTGACTACAGGTATTTGTGCATCTTTTCGTAATGGAATGAAGATTCATTTGCAGCATCAGCAGGTACATCCATGAAAACTGAATGCTATTAAGAGCAGTAGGGCACTGTAGAAGAGCTCAGCAAGGACTTTTAGCCAAGGCCCTGTTACCTAGCGTGGCCTGTGCCACCCTATCTTCACTGCTGCTCTTACCTCCTGGAGCTACATTCAAGCAAAAGTCTGCTTTCCTCCATTGCCTGCTGTGTTTTTACAAGCTCTTTAGGTGGGATAAGCAACAAACTCGGGAGTAGACAGCAGACCTTGCTCCAGCCTGATGTTTGTTGCAACTTAATGAGCACGTACCTAAAATAACACAGTGACAAATCACTCCTTGTGGTGTAAGCCTACAGCCTTCTTGGTGAATTCCACTTGCAGCATCAGACATCATCAGCCGCAGGCTTGCATCCAGCCCTCTACCTACCAAATGATCCGCTGCAAAAGTGCTGAGGCTGCAACTGGGAACCACCTCCCACTGGTCTACATGTGTTGTTTCAATGCAACATTGCGTGTAGACTCTCTTGCACAAGTTTGTTTCACCAACTATCCTTAAACATATTGTCCCTTACTTAACTAAGCAAAATCTTTATAGAAGAGACCTGAAGCCCCGCAGTGCAGAGCCACAGAGAGCCTGAGGCGGTCTCCTACTAGAAAACTGTGGTAATTATGTAGAGAAGCACCTCCCAGGTGTCTGATCCAGCACATTCCTTGGTACTCCTGAAACTCAGCCTTGCATAAGTCTGGAGTACGAGGGCCCTAATGCCCAGTTCTTCTCACTGGCACCTCTACTGGGAAGAGATGGGTATAGCAGTCATCTCTGAGAAAGAAAGAATTGAAAAGGCTGAGCAGCTGACCGGGAGGTGGGAATGATGGATTTTGCCTTCTGTGGCTCACAGAAAATAAAATAAAATAAAATAAAATAAAATAAAATAAAATAAAATAA